AGGAGGCCTACAAACCTGACTCAGTTACACCAGCTCTGTCAGGAGGAATGGGCCAAAATTCACCTAACTTATTGTGGAAAGCTTGTGGAAGGCTACCCGAAACGTTTGACCCAAGTTAAACAATTAAAGGCAGTGCTACCAAATACTAATTGAGTGTATGTAAACTTCTGACCCACTGGGAATGTGATGAAAGAAATACAAACTGAAAGAAATCATTCTCTCTACTATAATTCTGACATTTCACATTCTTAAAATAAAGTGGTGATCCTAACTGACCTAAAACAGGGAATTTCTACTAGGATTAAATGTCAGGAATTGTGAAAAACTGAGTTGAAATGTATTTGGCTAAGGTGTATGTAAACCTCCGACTTCAACTGTAGGTGGCTGGTTTCAGCTAGTTTAATCTTGTTCTTGATACCATGTCTTGTTTTGAGATGTTTGGACTGACTTCATGTCAATGCTAATATGGCTAAAATTTGCTAGCTAGCTGACCAACAACTGTAACAATGTATTTGAGAGACAACAAGTTCTCAATGTGCAAATGTATTTATGTTTCAATACACATTTGGAGACAAAATATAGTTTACCTGTTGTCAACGATCTAAGCCAACCCCCTCTGTTTTGCCCAATAGTTGTGCATGTGTTGGTTTTGTTGCTAAACAACCAACCCTTCTATAGGCTTGTTTGAAGTTTAGCAAGTCCACTGGTCCCTCAGGACTCAGTGGCAGAAAGTTACTCACTCATTCACTCACTAAATTCACACACTTGCACACACACTCATCCACTTACCTGGAACTTTGCAGAGACAGGGCTGCTTGTCAAGGATTACAATCAGATATGACTACTCAGTCCAGCTTGGTTGACCAATGAGCTAATAGGCTATATATACCCACCAAAAGAACCTACATATGTATGTTTTAAGAGTACGTAGTATACAAAGTGCTGTGGGTTTCCTGCCAGGGAGGCCTAAAGGGCCTTGCACTACATCATCCATTCTGCACTCCACTTCAAAAACAGCCTTTGGAGTGCTGCCTGGTGGCTTTGGAGCGCTGCCTGGGGGCGTTCGCCATTAGCTTGCCACTTGGCGGCCAATTGCACGGAGCAGCGGAGACAAAAGCCACGCCCACCCCTGCATGCTCTGATTGCTCCGAGTGGTCCGAGGATAAAAAACCTGTATGCCCCGGCTGGGACGGGATGGGGCCTCGTTTTGGCATGGCGGAGCGCAGATTCCCCCGCAGAATATTTGTTTGGCTGTTTTTGGCACAGGCCGTCCAGGACTGGGTCTTTATCAGTTATTGAATGTCAGTCAATTGATTCAGTGTGCAATGTTCGAGGATTCTTTCCTGTTTTGATGAGGACGTTGACATTCCACGATACTAATTGAAAGCAAATATTAAATTGGGAGACGAGACCACACTCAACGACGTGATGCAGGCTATGTTCTAACGCTATTTCAACAACAAACATGTTTTCTCTTTCTGAGCAAATGCACTACTATGCAGTGCACACCTGAACTAGCTGTTTCATATGTCAAATCAGAAATAAAGGTGCAGTGTATTTCCTCCCAACTATAGTCTGGCTTTTCCAACCATGAGATTGGCATTTGTCTATAAATCTATTTATTATCTATTCATTCTTGCTATGCAAATTGTCAGCTGACATGTTACACATGGTCCACTTACAGCGCATTTGGAAAGTATTCAGACCCCTTCCCTTTTTCCACGTCTTGTTACGTTACAGCCTTATTATAACATTTATTACATTATTTTTGTCCCTCATAAATCTACACACAATACCCCATAATGACAAAGCGAAAAAAGGTTTTTAGAAATGTTTGCAAATTTATTACAAATAAAAAACAGAAAAACCTTATCTACAAAAGTATTCAGACCCTTTGCTATGAGACTCGAAATTGAGCTCAGGTGCATCCTGTTTTCATTGATCATCCTTGAAATGTTTCTACAACTTGATTGGAGTCCACCTGTGGTAAATTCAATTGATTGGATATGATTTGGGAAGGCACACACCTGTCTATATAAGGTCCCACAGTTGACAGTGCATGTCAGAGCAAAAGGATTGAACTCTTTGGTCTGAATGCCAAGCGTCACGTCTGGAGGACACCTGGCACCATCCCTACAGTGAAGCATGGTGGTGGCAGCATCATGCTGTGGAGATGTTTTTTAGTGGCAGGGACTGGGAGACTAGTCAGGATCAAGGGAAAGATGAACAGAGCAAAGTACAGAGAGATCCTTCATGAAAACCTGCTCCAGAGCACTCAGGACCTTAGACTGGGGCAAAGGTTCACCTTCCAACAGGACAACGACCCTAAGCACACAGCCAAGACAATGCAGGAGTGGCTTCGGTATAAGTCTCTGAATGGCCTTGAGCGGCCAAGCCAGAGCCCGGACTTGAACCCGATCGAACATCTCTGGAGATCTGAAAATAGCTGTGCAGCGACGCTCCCTATCCAACCTGACAGAGCTTGAGAGGATCTGCAGAGAAGAATGGGAGAAACTCCCCAAATACAGGTGTGCCAAGCTTGTACATTTAGCGTCATACCCAAGAAGACTCAAGGCTGTAATCGCTTCCAAAGGTGCTTAAACAAAGTACTGAATAAAGGGTCTGAAAACTTATGTAAATGTAATATTTCCGGGTTTTTTATATTTATAAATTTGCAAAAATTTCTAAAAACCAGTTTTTGCTTTGTCATTATGGGGTATTGTGTGTAGATTGCTGAGGAAAAAACAATTTAATCCATTTTAAAATAAGGCTGTAACGTAATACAAAATGTGGAAAAAGTAATGGGGTCTGAATACTTTCCGAATGCACTGTATATGCATAGTGTTTCATCTTTGGACCTCTCCGTCTTGCCTGGCTGGTGATTGAATCAGATAAACCCATCATTTCAAATAAAAGGGCCGAGAAGTAAAGCGGATTTACAGACTGTCCAAGAAAAAAAGGGCCCCATTGTCCACATCCTATGTGAGGTAATGAGAATAAATGAAAGGCTCGGTGCGCCCTCTCTGACATCTCTCTCTCTCTCTCTCGCTCTCTCTATTCCCATCCCTCTCTCTCCTGGCTGACGTGTTTTGCCATACTGCGATCTCCTGTCTCCGGGCCCTCAGGTTATTTGGATATTGCATGGAGTCAAAGCTCTGTCAATCAGATAAGCACTGACCTAGCAGGCCTCATAGATAAGACATTACACAGGAAGAGGGAACGGCAGACAGTGGGGACACAAGGCCGACTATAAAGGCTCAGTGAAGCGAGGCTGATCACAACGGCTCTTCAACCACATAGGGCTGCCAAGAATGAAGTATCGCTTGTCCTCTTCTTGCCATTTCCCAATTAGATTGACTGGATCAAATCTGGATCTGGTGGATACTTGTCTCTCTTCAAGCACCCACAAAATCCCTCCCCTTTACATGTCCAGAACACAGTTCAGACAGGTATCTCTGTTATATGATGACGTGAGTGGGCCTCTGCAAATAAAATAAAATAAAATTGTATTTGTCACATGTACCGAATACAATGGCTGTACTTAAACCTTGAAATTCTTGCTTATGAACCCTTCCCAACGATGCAGAGTTTTAAAAAAAGAATACAAATAAAAATAGTAACACGAGGAATAAAATACACAATAATGGAGCTATATATATATTTTATTCCTATTGTGTTACTATTTTGTATATTTTTTCTCTGTATCATAAAATTAAAACGTTAGAAGCCTTTTTAAACATTCAGTACAATTCTTCTGTAAACGTAAAACGTGATATGTGTAAATCATGTACATGTACATATTCCCAGAATATATTGAATGCACCTATTTGGCCTACGGTTTTTGATCTTGCACAAAATGGGGTGCAAAAGACACTGCATGCGTATTTCCATTGGCTTACCAAACAACAAGGTGCTTTACGGTCTGTTGGATGGAGTGGGAGACAATGTGCCACACATTTTGATTGAGTGCGACATTGAGAAATTACAAAAGGGTGAGACAACGATGAGCTTTTGTTCAAGACAACATTTGGGTGGTCCGCAGATAGAAAGCCACTGGGGAATTTCCCTACTTTCCCTAAATAAACGTTCAAGATAGCCCAGAGCACTTTCCATCAAGGAAGGAGCGACTCAAAGGGTAACTTTCTTTTATATATATATAGATGCTATTTCTCTGAAACTTGTCACAGCAAACTTGTTCTCAAAGCGACCATACAATATCATTCAATATGGCAGAAATGACATCTTTTGAAAGATTCACCTATGGGAACATGTGTTAAATATTAAGGACATAATTGTTTAAGTTCAATAATTATGACTATTGTTACTGAGAACACCATCTCTTCTAAATATGTCACACATTGTAGCCTACCCCTGTGGATGAGTAGCCTATGCTCTATAATCGTAGTGGTAATTGCAATCTCCAAACTACGATGTCCGCCAACAAGTAATATGAAAAACAATTTATACGGAAAATGTCTACCCAATTAATTTTGCTGTTGTTTAACAATATTGAGTCGTATGCTTCCAGTGCCATCTACTGACAAGAGACAGGCAGCACAGAGCCTACCATTCAAGGCTATTCACAAACGTTTCTGTGTGAGACCAACTGTGAGCCATATGCCTCTTATGTCACAAAGGTGCCAGTGCTGTCACTAGTAGGCCTACTTAATTTATCCATGCAAAATGTATTTATTATTTAAAATAGTATAGGTTTGTCCTACAGGCAGCGTACAACACATCAAGAGAAGCTGTATGCTAAGAAATGCAATTAGAGAAACAGGACTCAACGTTCTGTAATTTGTGATCTGCTTTTAGTTTATAATTTTCCGAGAGGTGTTTTTGATTAAATTATATAACAGTTTTGAGTGCGAAAAACAATAGGAAGCGAGTAAAACCGGGAGGGCAGGACACGAGGAAAGACTGAGATTCAGCCACAGAACGGACTTTGAAGATGCTCTTCTTGAACACGCTCGTTACACCCGGAAATAAGCAGAATTTCCCAAAGATGGCGGAGCAAGGGCCAATGGCGATAGCTATGCGGCTAAGAAATCAACTCCAATCCGTATATAAGCTCGACCCGTTACGAAATGAGGTAGGTACCAATTAATTTCGTACTCTATAGACCGGTGAGAATTGTTTGAGTTGATCAGGTCTGGATCTAGCCGCATAACTAGTTACGACGAGGAAATGGAGCAATGCGAGCGCTTTCTCCCGTCCCCAAAGTGATGGAGAGAGAGCTGTCTACCATGTGTGCGCAGGCGTGTGTGGAAGAAGTCTACCCGTGTTGTTGTTCTGGGCAGCTAATGCAGGTCATTCGCGCAAATGTGTATCGTTCAAACTACCCATTTCCCCCGTTTTACACCAGAAACGTGATGCATTGTTTGTTAAAAGGCGAATGCACGTTTTACAAGGATAAAAAATGATTTTGACAGTGACGTAAGAGTTTTAGCTACTAACTTACACTTATTAACTAGCAGCTAATTGTGTTTGCTAGGCTAGCTAGCTTCTCGTGACGGGCTTGTCGGACCTTGCTTGTAAAGTAACTAATATGTGTCCAGTATTTGCAATTCCGTGTGTAGCGTACTGGGTTTGTAACTATAACTTACAAAGATAGATACGTAGATGCTACACTGTTGTTTTTTGCCATTGTTAGCAATCATAAAAGCTAACTAACTACTAGGCTACAATGTTGCAGTCACCTGACACACCCACCTGCTCAACGTAGTGGAAAAGAAGACGCGCAATCGACATAATGTTATTCGCATGAACTCATTAGGCTACTCTAGAATGTCATCATTCTTCTAACATGCTGTTTTGACATTGTTGCTACTTGGTGTAAAAGTAAACGAAACTGCAATGCGATACTTTCTATTATTGAGATTTCAATAGCAACTTAATATTGTTGCAGGAGGAAGTGAAGTTGAAGATCAAAGACCTGAACGAGCACATAGTGTGCTATCTCTGTGCTGGGTACTTCATCGATGCCACAACTATTACCGAGTGTCTGCATACATGTGAGTGGGCCTAGGCTGTGTTTTCAATGTTTTGGCTTATGACGTTACCTCTCTGGGAAATAGGCAAACTTTTATAGACTTGTGGCCTAGCCTACTTACTGCCTGTGAATGCATACAAATCAAAGTGTATTGGTCTTGTACACAGATTTCCAGGTGCAGTGAAATGCTTATGTTTATGTTTCTAGCTCCAAAAGTGCAGTAATACACTATATATACAAAAGTATGTGGAAACCCCTTCAAATTAGTGGATTCTGCAATTTTCAGCCCCGTTGCTGACAGGTGTATCAAATCGAGCACACAGCCATGCAATCTCCATAGACAAACACTGGCAGTAGAATGGCCTTACTGAAGAGCTCAGTGACTTTCAACGTACACTGTCATAGGATGCCACCTTTCCAACAAGTCAGTTTGTCAAATTTCTGCCATGCTAGAGCTGCCCTGGTCAACTGTAAGAGTTGTTATTGTAAATTGGAAACGTCTAGGAGCAACAAAGGCTCAGCCATGAAGTGGTAGGCCTCACATGCTCACAGAATGGGATCGCCAAGTGCTGAAGCGTGTAGCGCATAAAAATCGTCTGTACTCTGTTGCAACACTCACTACCGAGTTCCAAACTGCCTCTGGAAGCAACGTCAGCACTGTTCGTCGGGAGCTTCATGAAATGGGTTTCCATGGCCGAGCAGCCGCACGCAAGCCTAAGATCACCATGCGCAATGCCAAGTGTCAGCTGGAGTGGTGTAAAGCTCGCCGCCATTGGACTCTGGAGCAGTGGAAACGCGTTCTCTGCAGTGATGAATCACTCTTCACCATCTGGAAGTCTGACAGACAAATCTGGGTTTGGCGGATGCCAGGAGAACGCTACTTGCTCGAATACATAGTGCCAACTGTAAAGTTTGGTGGAGGAGGGATAATGGTCTGGGGCTGTTTTTCATGATTCGGGCTGCGCTCCTTAGTTCCAGTGAAGGGAAAACTTAACGCTACAGCATACAATTACATTCTAGACGATTCTGTGCTTCGAACTGTGGCAACAGTTTGGGGAAGGCCCTTTCCTGTTTCAGCATAACAATGCCCCTGTGCACAAAGTGCGGTCCATACAGAAATGGTTTGTCGAGATCAGTGTGGAAGAACTTGACTGGCCTGTGCAGAGCCCTGACCTCAACCCCATCAAACACCTTTGGGATGAATTGGAATGCCGACTGTGAGCCAGGCCTAATCGGCCAAAATCACTAATGCTCTTGTGGCTGAATGGAAGCAAGTCCCTTCAGCAATGTTCCAACATCTAGTGGAAAGCCTTCCCAGAAGAGTGGAGGCTGTTATAGCAGCAAAGGGGGGACCAACTCCATAATAATGCCCATAACTTTGGAATGAGATGTTGGACAAGCATGTGTCCACATACCTTTGGTCATGGAGTGTACATAGTAATACATAGTTGTATAGTACATTTTAAAATGTTATTATAAAAGAACATCCTTCATTTTCAGGGACATTAATGGCCAATGACTCTACTGCTTCTATTTCAGTCTGTAAAAGTTGTATCGTGAAATACCTCCAAACCAGCAAGTATTGTCCAATGTGCAACATAAAGATCCATGAAACCCAGCCTTTATTGAACCTGAAATTGGATAGAGTGATGCAAGACATTGTCTACAAACTGGTTCCAGGACTTCAAGAAAGTAAGTACATTGATATTCATACAATGATACTTGTTCTCATTTTTGTTACATAGTACTTTATTAATGGTTTTGTTATTTTATTTCTCCTGTTTCCTTAGAAAAAAGCTCTTAACTCCTAATCATCAAATTTGTTAAGTGCTCATGCAGTCTTGTTACTAGTGTAACAGCGTTACTTAAACCGCTGCAGCAGGAAGCAGCATTACATTATCAATTTAGTGTGGGTTGATATTTTTTCACATGTGATAGTGCTTCTATGGTCCTTATTTTCTGTTCTTTGTAAACAGGTGAGGACAAGAGAATAAAGGAATTCTATCAGTCGCGTGGGCTTGAGAGAGTTGTCCAACCCTCTGGGGAAGGTAAGCCTCTACAGATTAGTTAATTTTGTGAGTCTACAGCTCTATCCCCCCCCCCCAAATGTCATGATATGTTTCTACTTTTACATGGTATCTGTGTGTCGCCCCTAGACTCCATACCAGATACAGGATTACCTTTTACCAGCTTTGACCATTCCAAGGCCCACTTCTACAGATACGACGAGCAGGTCTCGCTTTGTCTAGAGAGGCAAAGGTAAGATTTCGTGTAATGTCTTGACAACTACAGTAAGTAGCCTACTGTCTATTCTCAGACCACTGGTGGATTATCACTGATACTTCGTGCCTATGTTCAGTCTTTTGGTTCTATATCCCCCATCAGCGTTTCCGGTAATTAGCTGGTAATTGCCAGCTTTTGTCCAATAAAAATACATAAAAGCCAACAAATCATAACGTTGCCAGCCCAGAATATATCCTGATCTCATTGGCTCTGCATGGAAATTGGTTCAGGTTGTCTTTCAATCGCATCATCTCTGTATGCCCGTCCCCTCTGCCTGTCTGTCTTGAGCTTGTGCTCTCGCTAACATTGTATCAACTGGTACCGGCCTGCAGAGTTTCCTGCGCCAGTGAGTCTGTCAGTGTGGTGCAGAAGTATTTTATGATGTTTTGCAAGCTGGTAACAATGATTTGAGATATGCAAGGAGATATAATAGCCTACCAAGTGAAGGTTGGATCCTTGAAAAATGCATGTGTCCTGGTGGCTTGTCAATATGCTGTTAACCTAGACGTTTTACGTCACTTTGAGGCATGTCTTACCTTGCTTCAGAGTAGCCTATAACTAAAATCCCACCATAGAAACGTGAAGGCAATTATTTTATAAAGACTTCCTCATATGCGTTCTCCTGTACTATTGGTTTTCTTTCAACTTTCTTTCATTGTCTAGCAGCCAAAGGCATTATCCTAGTCATATTAGCAACCCATGATAGTTGTTGCATCTTTATATCTCCCCTCTTTCAAAATTTCAAACAGATAATTCTATCTCTGTCCATGAAACCGCTTGCATGTGTGGTACGCATTTTAGAATGGTATTTTCCCGCAAATTGTATTTTGGACATTTGCATATAGTCCTACCGCTGTGTGCATTCGGAAAGTATTCAGACCCCTTGACTTTTTCCACATTCTGTTACGTTACAGCCTTAATCAAAAAATGATTAAATAGTTTTCCCCTCAATCTACACATAATAATAATATAATACCCATAATGACAAAGCAAAAACAGGTTATTAGAAATATTTGCAAATGTATATATTTTTTTACTGAAATGACATTTTACATAAGTATTCAGACCCTTTATTCAGTATGTTGAAGCAACTTTGGCAGCGATTACAGCCTCGAGTCTTCTTGTGTATGACGCTACAAGCATGGCACACCTGTATTTGGGGAGTTTCTCCCATTCTTCTCTGCAGATCCTCTCAAGCTCTGTCAGGTTGGATGGGGATCGTCGCTGCACAGCTATTTTCAGGTCTCTCCAGAGATGTTCGATCGGGTTCAAGTCCGGGCTCTGGCAGAGACTTGTCCCGAAGCCACTCCTGCGTTGTCCTGGCTGTGTGGTTAGGGTCGCTGTCCTGAGGTCTTGAGCAGGTTTTCATCAAGGATCTCTCTGTACTTTGCTCCGTTCATCTTTCCTTCGATCCTGACTAGTCTCCCAGTCCCTGCCGCTGAAAAACATCCCCACAGCATGATGCTGCCACCACTATGCTTCACCGTAGGGATGGCGCCAGGTTTCCTTCAGATGTGATGCTTGGCATTCAGGCCAAAGAGTTCAATCAGACCAGAGAATCTTGTTTGTCATGGTGGGAGAGTCCTTTAGGTACTTTTGGCAAACTCCAAGTGGGCTGTCATGTGCCTTTTACTGAGGAGTGGCTTCCGTCCGGCCACTCTACAATAAAGGCCTGATTGGTGGAGTGCTGCAGAAATGGTTGTCCTTCTGGAAGCTTCTCCCATCTCCACAGAGGAGCTCTTTCAGTGACCATCGGGTTCTTGGTCACCTCCCTGACCAGGCAGCCAGCTCTAGGAAGAGTCTTGGTGGTTCCAAACTTCTTCCATTTTAAGAATGATGGAGGCCAATGTGTTCTTGGGGACCTTCAATGCTGCAGACATTTATTGGTACCCTTCCCCAGATCTGTGCCTCGACACAATCCTGTCTCGGTGCTCTACAGAGAATTCCTTCGACCTCATGACTTGGTTTTTGCTCTGACATGCACTGTCAACTGTGGGACCTTGTGTAGACAGGTGTGTGCCTTTCGAAATCATGTCCAATCAATTTAATTTACCACAGGTGGACTCAAGTTGTTGAAACACCTCAAGGATGAATGGAAACAGGATGCACCTGAGCTCAATTTCGAGTCTCATAGCAAAGGGTTTAAATACTTACGTAAATAAGGTTTTTCTGTTTTTGCTTCGTTATTATGGGGTATTGTGTGTAGATTGAGGGGAAAAAATGAATTTAATCAATTTTAGAATAAGGCTGTAATGTAACCAAATGTGGAAAGTCAAGGGGTCTACAGTGGGGAAAAAAAGTATTTAGTCAGCCACCAATTGTGCAAGTTCTCCCACTTAAAAAGATGAGAGGCCTGTAATTATCATCATAGGTACACGTCAACTATGACAGACAAATTGAGGAAAAAAATCCAGAAAATCACATTGTAGGATTTTTAATGAATTTATTTGCAAATTATGGTGGAAAATAAGTATTTGGTCACCTACAAACAAGCAAGATTTCTGGCTCTCACAGACCTGTAACTTCTTCTTTAAGAGGCTCCTCTGTCCTCCACTCGTTACCTGTATTAATGGCACCTGTTTGAACTTGTTATCAGTATAAAAGACACCTGTCCACAACCTCAAACAGTCACACTCCAAACTCCACTATGGCCAAGACCAAAGAGCTGTCAAAGGACACCAGAAACAAAATTGTAGACCTGCACCAGGCTGGGAAGACTGAATCTGCAATAGGTAAGCAGCTTGGTTTGAAGAAATCAACTGTGGGAGCAATTATTAGGAAATGGAAGACATACAAGACCACTGATAATCTCCCTCGATCTGGGGCTCCACGCAAGATCTCACCCCTGTGGGGTCAAAATGATCACAAGAACGGTGAGCAAAAATCCCAGAACCACACGGGGGGACCTAGTGAATGACCTGCAGAGAGCTGGGACCAAAGTAACAAAGCCTACCATCAGTAACACACTACGCCGCCAGGGACTCAAATCCTGCAGTGCCAGACGTGTCCCCCTGCTTAAGCCAGTACATGTCCAGGCCCGTCTGAAGTTTGCTAGAGTGCATTTGGATGATCCAGAAGAGGATTGGGAGAATGTCATATGGTCAGATGAAACCAAAATAGAACTTTTTGGTAAAAACTCAACTCGTTGTGTTTGGAGGACAAAGAATGCTGAGTTGCATCCAAAGAACACCATACCTACTGTGAAGCATGGGGGTGGAAACATCATGCTTTGGGGCAGTTTTTCTGCAAAGGGACCAGGACGACTGATCCGTGTAAAGGAAAGAATGAATGGGGCCATGTATCGTGAGATTTTGAGTGAAAACCTCCTTCCATCAGCAAGGGCATTGAAGATGAAACGTGGCTGGGTCTTTCAGCATGACAATGATTCCAAACACACCGCCCGGGCAACGAAGGAGTGGCTTCGTAAGAAGCATTTCAAGGTCCTGGAGTGGCCTAGCCAGTCTCCAGATCTCAACCCCATAGAAAATCTTTGGAGGGAGTTGAAAGTCCGTGTTGCCCAGCGACAGCCCCAAAACATCACTACTCTAGAGGAGATCTGCATGGAGGAATGGGCCAAAATACCAGCAACAGTGTGTGAAAACCTTGTGAAGACTTACAGAAAACGTTTGACCTGTGTCATTGCCAACAAAGGGTAAATAACAAAGTATTGAGAAACTTTTGTTATTGACCAAATACTTATTTTCCACCATAATTTGCAAATAAATTCATTAAAAATCCTACAATGTGATTTTCTGGATTTTTTTTCCCTCATTTTGTCTGTCATAGTTGACGTGTACCTATGATGAAAATTACAGGCCTCTCTCATCTTTTTAAGTGGGAACTTGCACAATTGGTGGCTGACTAAATACTTTTTTTCCCCACTGTAAATAATTTCCGAATGCATTGCTGCGGCAAAAATTAAGAAATAATAGTTTATCAACATTTGAAGCTAAACATTGTGATCTGTTCCATCAGCCTTATTAATTGATACGGCGTATACCTCCACTACACTACTTTGATACGGCGTATACCTCCACTACACTACTTTGATACGGCGTATACCTCCACTACACTACTTTGATACGGCGTATACCTCCACTACACTACTTTGATACGGCGTATACCTCCACTACACTACTTTGATACGGCGTATACCTCCACTACACTACTTTGATACGGCGTATACCTCCACTACACTACTTTGATACGGCGTATACCTCCACTACACTACTTTGATACGGCGTATACCTCCACTACACTACTTTGATACGGCGTATACCTCCACTACACTACTTTGATACGGCGTATACCTCCACTACACTACTTTGATACGGCGTATACCTCCACTACACTACTTTGATACGGCGTATACCTCCACTACACTACTTTGATACGGCGTATACCTCCACTACACTACTTTGATACGGCGTATACCTCCACTACACTACTTTGATACGGCGTATACCTCCACTACACTACTTTGATACGGCGTATACCTCCACTACACTACTTTGATACGGCGTATACCTCCACTACACTACTTTGATACGGCGTATACCTCCACTACACTACTTTGATACGGCGTATACCTCCACTACACTACTTTGATACGGCGTATACCTCCACTACACTACTTTGATACGGCGTATACCTCCACTACACTACTTTGATACGGCGTATACCTCCACTACACTACTTTGATACGGCGTATACCTCCACTACACTACTTTGATACGGCGTATACCTCCACTACACTACTTTGATACCATCATGGGGATTAAGGAGTATATGCAATGTACGCTGAAAAATAACTGGGTATACAGTTGAAGTCGGAAGTTTACATGCACCTTAGCCAAATACATTTCAACTCAGTTTTTCACAATTCCTGACATTTAATCCTAGTAAAAATTCCCTATTTTAGGTCAGTTAGGATCACCACTTTATTTTAAGAATGTGAAATGTCAGAATAATAGTAGAGAGAATGATTTCTTTCAGCTTTTATTTCTTTCATCACATTTCCCAGTGGGTCAGAAGTTTACATACAGTGGGGAGAACAAGTATTTGATACACTGCCGATTTTTGCAGGTTTTCCTAATTACAAAGCATGTAGAGGTCTGTAATTTTTATCATAGGTACACTTCAACTGTGAGAGACGGAATCTAAAACAAAAATCCAGAAAATCACATTGTATGATTTTTAAGTAATTAATTTGCATTTTATTGCATGACATAAGTATTTTATCACCTACCAACCAGTAAGTATTCCGGCTCTCACAGACCTGTTCGTTTTTCTTTAAGAAGCCCTCCTGTTCTCCACTCGTTACCTGTATAAAAGACACCTGTCCACACACTCAATCAAACAGACTCCAACCTCTCCACAATAGCCAAGACCAGAGAGCTGTGTAAGGACATCAGGGATAAAATTGTAGACCTGCATAAGGCTGGGATGGGCTACAGGACAATAGGCAAGCAGCTTGGTGAGAAGGCAACAACTGTTGGCGCAATTATTAGAAAATGGAAGAAGTTCAAGATGACGGTCAATCACCCTCGGTCTGGGGCTCCATGCAAGATCTCAACTCGTGGGGTATCAATGATCGTGAGGGATCAGTCCAGAACTACACGGCAGGACCTGGTCAATGACCTGAAGAGAGCTGGGACCACAGTCTCAAAGAAAACCATTAGTAACACACTACGCCGTCATGGATTAAAATCCTGCAGCGCACGCAAGGTCCCCCTGCTCAAGCCAGCGCATGTCCAGGCCCGTCTGAAGTTTGCCAATGACCATCTGGATGATCCAGAGGAGGAATGGGAGAAGATCATGTGGTCTGATGAGACAAAAATAGAGCTTTTTGGTCTAAACTCCACTCGCCGTGTTTGGAGGAAGAAGAAGGATGAGTACAACCCCAAGAACACCATCCCAACCGTGAAGCATGAAGGTGGAAACATCATTCTTTGGGGATGCTTTTCTGCAAAGGGGACAGGATGACTGCACCGTATTGAGGGGAGGATGGATGGGGCCATGTATCGCGAGATCTTGGCCAACAACCTCGTTCCCTCTGTAAGAGCATTGAAGATGGGTCGTGGCTGGGTCTTCCAGCATGAAAACGACCCAAAACACACAGCCAGGGCAACTAAGGAGTGGCTCCGTAAGAAGTATCTCAAGGTCCTGGAGTGGCCTAGCCAGTCTCCAGACCTGAACCCAATAGAAAATCTTTGGAAGGAGCTGAAAGTCCGTATTGCCCAGCAACAGCCCCGAAACCTGAAGGATCTGGAGAAGGTCTGTATGGAGGAGTGGGCCAAAATCCCTGCTGCAGTGTGTGCAAACCTGGTCAAGACCTACAGGAAATGTATGATCTCTGTAATTGCAAACAAAGGTTTCTGTACCAAATATTAAGTTCTGCTGTTCTGATGTATCAAATACTTATGTCATGCAATAAAATACAAATTAATTACTTTAAAATCATACAATGTGATTTTCTGGATTTTTGTTTCTCACAGTTGAAGTGTACCTATGATAAAAATTACAGACCTCTACATGCTTTGTAAGTAGGAAAACCTGCAAAATCGGCAGTGTATCAAATACTTGTTCTCCCCACTGTACACTCAATTAATATTTGGTAGCATTGCCTTTAAATTGTTTAACTTGGGTCAAACGTTTTGGGTAGCCTTCCACAAGCTTCCCACAATAAGTTGGGTGAATTTTGGCCCATTCCTCCTGACAGAGCTGGTGTAACTGAGTCAGGTTTGTAGGCCTCCTTGCTCGCACACGCTTTTTCAGTTCTGCCAACAAATGTTCTATAGGATTGAGGTCAGGGCTTTGTGATGGCCACTCCAATACCTTGACTTTGTTGTCCTTAGCCATTTTGCCACAACTTTGGAAGTATGCTTGGGGTCATTGTTCAGTTGGAAGACCCATTTGCGACCAAGCTTTAACTTCCTGACTGATGTCTTGAGATGTTGCTTCAATATATCCACATAATTTTCCTTCCTCATGATGCCATCTATTTTGTGAAGTGCACCAGTCCTGCAGCAAAGCACCCCCACAGCATGATGCTGCCACCCCCGTGCTTCACGGTTGGGATGGTGTTCTTCAGCTTGCAAGTGACCCCCTTTTTCCTCCAAACATAACGATGGTCATTATGGCCAAACAGTTCTATTTTTGTTTCATCAGACCAGAGGACATTTCTCCAAAAGGTACGATCTTCGTCCCCATGTGCAGTTGCAAACCGTAGTCTGGCTTTTTTATGGCGGTTTTGGAGCGGTGGCTTCTTCCTTGCGGAGCGGCCTTTCAGGTTATGTCGATATAGGACTCGTTTTACTGTGGATATATATTAATTTTCTACCTGTTTCCTCCAGCATCTTCACAAGGTCCTTTGCTGCTTTTCTGGGATTGATTTTCACTTTTCGCACCAAAGTACGTTCATCTCTAGGAGACAGAACGTGTCTTCTTCCTGAGCGGTATGATTGCTGCGTGGTCCCATGGTGTTTACTTGCGTACTATTGTTTGTACAGATGAATGTGGTACCTTCAGGCGTTTGGAAATTGCTCCCAAGGATGAACCAGACCTGTGGTGGTCTACAAAAAATTTTCTGAGGTCTTGGCTGATTTCATTTGATTTTCCCATAATGTCAAGCAAATAGGCACTGAGTTTGAAGGTAGGCCTTGAAATACATCCACAGGTACACCTCCAATTGACTCAATTGCCTATCAGAAGGTTCTAAAGCCATGACATCATTTTCTGGAATTTTCCAAGCTGTTTAAAGGCACAGTCAACTTAGTGTATGTAAACGTCTGACCCACTGGAATTGTGATACAGTGAATTATAAGTAAAATAATCTGTCTGTAAACAATTGTTGGAAAAATTACTTGTGTCATGCACAAAGTAGATGTCCTAACAGACTTGCCAAAAGTATAGTTTGCCGACAAGAAATTTGTGGAGTGGTTAGAAAACGAGTTTGAATGATTCCAACCTAAGTGTGTGTAAACTTCAGACTTCAACTGTACCTGCATATACCCTCCACTACATCACTGATTGGCAGTGAGCACTCCCAAAAAAGAAAGCCTTAACCTTCACACGGTGGCATTCAAATGGTTTTCTATTAGATATAGCTGGTAAATTTCACATTTTTAAATGACCATCCGTCACAAATGTTTCCTGAAATGCTGTCCTCAATGAAGTACGTTCAAAATGCCCCATACAATTCCTCCCTGTGTTTCATGCTTAATCATGTACTCTCTTGTCCCTACAGTTCATCTCTGTCTGAAAAAAAAGATAAGACCAAACTGACTCTTCAGGTAAGTCATGTGTGGAATGGAAATGCACCCTGCCACCAGAGGTCTCTGTTGGTGTAACTTGCAGTGGTCTGTTCTGTTTGGATCGAGACGAACCGAAGATGTCTCCACAAGCAATGCTTCCCTCAATTGCTTTTGCAATTATATTTAATATGAGTGCATCTGTCAGTCCCTACTAGAATTGCCCACACATTTCTTGGTATTTCTGTTTAATCCTGGAATCATTTGGAATCACGTGTGTGGAATTGGAGTTGTAGTAATGTTGCTCTGCCTCGTCTCTGCAGCAGAAGTTTGTGCGCTGCTCGGTCCGAGCCGAGGTGAGACACCTGCGTAAAGTGCTGTGTCATCGACTGAATGTGGAGAAGCACCAGGTCAGTCTATCTTCTAGCAAGACTACATTTAAGAGGAACATTTCAGCACCATTTTACATTAAATGTGCAGTGTACCTATTTGCAAACAGTCTAAAACTACAACACTGGAACCATGTCCTATGATTACAAAAAAGTGTAGCCTATTAGATAATCTCTTGTTGTGCAATTTTTCAGTTCTGAGGGCTTTGAATATTATACACAAGTTAGTTGTATTTTGAGTTAGCATGTGAATGTTTCAGAGAATTGGAAATGGACCATACGTGCGCTTGTACAGTTCACCCAGGACCAGTTGTCATGTTTTGTCTTCACTGTGTGGTCTCCATTTCTCCACAGGTCCAGATGTTGTTCAATAATGAGTCCCTTCCAGATCACATGACCATGAAACGGCTGTGGATCTCTCACTGGTTTGGCAAGGTACCTCTCAAGTTGAGCCAACAATTTCATACTGAATTCCTTTACACTTGAACTGGCTTTTTCCATTTGGATGTTCATTTAGAAAAATATTCTGTGGTAGAAACAGCATTGTTGGATTTAAGGAACTAAATAATATTCCAAATCAATATTCTGTAGTGACTTCAAATTATACAATGTCTATGGCAATTTCTCTCAATTCAAACATGTTTTCTAGCACAAGAAGAAAGTAATTGCATGTTACTTAGAAAACTACATATTCAATCAAAATGAGTTAGTGTAAATAGTCTCACGCAATAATTGCAAATGTAAGAGTGCATACATATTTAATTAGTTAAATCATGCTGACACTGATCTCACTGTACACCTTCCTTTATAAATCAAAATAATTAATCGTAGTGTGAGAAGAGAAAAATATTTTAACCGGGTTATAATTGATTTGGGAGTTTCTTCAGATTAGTTGGATTTATGTTCACGTAGGATCACTTTAGTCAGATATGTAATGAATTCTGTATTTTTATTCCAGGCTCAACCATTGGTCCTTCACTACACTATTAAGGACAAAAGGACAAGATAGAACTTTTCTTGCCTGGCTACCCATCCACATCACTCTGGCCAACTGACGTTTCTTCTCCACCATGAGTCTGGGTTTGCTCCCCCCCCCCCCCCCCCGACGATTTCTACAATGCGAACACATTCTGCCCGTTCTGATTGGTCCCAGAAACCGATGGGTTGGGCCAGAGCCGGCCTACATGATGTCATCGACTTTGATACTATGATTTGTTAGACGATCCAATCGCTGATTAATTTGTATTGTACGAAGGCCTTCATTTTAAAGTCACAAAAACGACTTCTAGGATGGCAGTTTCAGACGTATGTAGCCATCGATAGACTGGTTGGTTGTTTAGCAACAAAACCGACATGTGTGCAACTATGGGGCAAAACAGACGAGGTTGTTGACTTAGATTGTTGACAACATGTAAACTATATTTAGTCTCAACGTTTATTGAAAACATAAATACATTTGCACAATGAGCACTTGTCTCTTCATACATTGTTACAGTTGTTGGTTAGCTAGTGAATTTTTGCCATATTAGCATTGACATGAAATCAGTCAAGCCTCAATGCAAGAAATGGTATCAAGAGCAAGATAAAACCAGCTGAAATGAGCCACCTACGATTCCCCACATGGCAACTATTTTCATTGTTGCTAGCTATCTGACCATTCAGAATCATCACAAAGCACGGCTTCCTGCCTCATCGATGCGTGCGCATCATTTTCATGACGTTGTCAGCTAACCCGTCTATAGAGCAGCGGAATTAAATTCAGGGTGAGTTGTCAGGCAAGGACTTTTCTCCTTTCTAATGACCTCAACAGCTGTATATATTTTGTATTTAAATATATTCTATTTTAATAGTGTTTGTGTACATATACTTATTTTGCTTGTTTTGTATTTTTGAAAATAAAAATTGGAAAGTTGTGGACAAATGTTTACGTTTATTTGTGGAGATTTGCACTTTTTTTTTTTACAGGCGCTATGTTCAATTATGGGAAGCAAACATCAAAATGGAATGGAAGCAACTATCAATGAACCGTGCAATGTTGTCTCAACTCAGTTTAGTCATGTAAGATAAGTGTTGATTCCTTTGCATTGAAGCTTTAGTAGTGAATATGATTAGTAGTTGATTAAAGTAGTGAAAGTATGAACACTGTTTTATAGACCAGAAAATTAAAGATTTTTACTAAAATTGTTATTTATTAGTTGATAATAAGTTTCATTGAGTTCAGTGGGGCAAGTCTGGAATAATCAAATTGGAGTATTGCAAAACTAACACTGAAGAACTCTAAATTCTTGTAAATCATGTTTTTCTTAGAAGCACCTAAACTCCCATGAACCGTACTACATACCGTGGAACTTTGATCTCCTACCTGGACATACAGTGAGGGGAAAAAAGTATTTGATCCCTTGCTGATTTTGTACGTTTGCCCACTGACAAAGACATGATCAGTCTATAATTTTAATGGTAGGTTTATTTGAACAGTGAGTGACAGAATAACGAACAAAAAAATCCAGAAAAACTCATGTCCAAAATGTTATAAATTGATTTGCATTTTAATGAGGGACATAAGTATTTGACCCCTCTGCAAAACATGACTTAGTACTTGGTGGCAAAACCCTTGTTGGCAATCACAGAGGTCAGACGTTTCTTGTAGTTGGCCACCAGGTTTGCACACATCTCAGGAGGGATTTTGTTCCACTCCTCTTTGCAGATCTTCTCCAAGTCATTAAGGTTTCGAGGCTGACGTTTGGCAACTCAAACCTTCAGCTCCCTCCACAGATTTTCCATGGGATTAAGGTCTGGAGAATGGCTAGGCCACTCCAGGACCTTAATGTGCTTCTTCTTGAGCCACTCCTTTGTTGCCTTGGCCGTGTGTTTTGGGTCATTGTCATGCTGGAATACCCATCCACGACCCATTTTCAATGCCCTGGCTGAGGGAAGGAGGTTCTCACCCAAGATTTGATGGTACATGGCCCCGTCCATCGTCCCTTTGATGCGATGAAGTTGTCCTGTCCCCTTAGCAGAAAAACACCCCCAAAGCATAATGTTTCCACCTCCATGTTTGACAGTGGGGATGGTGTTCTTGGGGTCATAGGCAGCATTCCTCCTCCTCCAAACACGGCGAGTTTGAGTTGATGCCAAAGAGCTCGATTTTGGTCTCATCTGACCACAACACTTTCACCCAGTTCTCCTCTGAATCATTCAGATGTTCATTGGCAAACTTCAGACGCCCTGTATATGTGCTGGGGACCTTGCGGGCACTGCAGGATTTCAGTCCTTCACGGCGTAGTGTGTTACCAATTGTTTTCTTGGTGACTATGGTGCAAGCTGCCTTGAGATCATTGACAAGATCCTCCCGTGTAGTTCTGGGCTGATTCCTCACTGTTCTCATGATCATTGCAACTCCATGAGGTGAGATCTTGCATGGAGCCCCAGGCCAAGGGAGATTGACAGGTCTTTTGTGTTTCTTCCATTTGCGATTAATCGCACCACTGTTGTCACCTTCTCACCAAGCTGCTTGGCGATGGTCTTGTAGCCCATTCCAGCCTTGTGTAGGTCTACAATCTTGTCCCTGACATCCTTGGAGTCCTCTTTGGTCTTGGCCATGGTGGAGAGTTTGGAATCTGATTGATTGCTTCTGTGGACAGGTGTCTTTTATACAGGTAACAAGATGAGATTAGGAGCACTCCCTTTAAGAGTGTGCTCCTAATCTCAGCTCGTTACCTGTATAAAAGACACCTGGGAGCCAGAAATCTTTCTGATTGAGAGGGGGTCAAATACTTATTTCCGTCATTAAAAGGCAAATCAATGTTTAACATTTTCGACATGCGTTTTTCTGTATTTTGATGTTGTTTTCTGTCTCACTGTTCAAATAAACCTACCATTAAAATTATACACTGATCATTTCTTTGTCAGTGGGCAAATGTACAAAGTCAGCAGGGGATCAAATACTTTTTTCCCTCACTGTACTTCTTGATGCTATTTTACAGCCCCCTTATGGTTTGTGCTGATTAGAAGTCAAGCTGGAAAGGAGCAGCTGATAAATGGCTAGGCTTGCCAGCATTGGCAATCAGTGATAACTCAGCCCATTTTAGTTAAATCAGTAAGGCACTATTCTCAAAGCTATAACCAAATCTCATACAACATACCTTTTTGTTTGAATATGACTGTCAAGACTATTGGTTCTAATGTCCTTCCTTCATTGTATGTCCCGTGTAGCTCAGTTGGTAGAGCATGGCGCTTGCAATGCCAGGGTTGTGGGTTCGATTCCCACGGCGGGCCAGTATGAAAAAATAAATATGTATGCACTCACTAACTGTAAATCGCTCTGGATAAGAGCATCTGCTAAATGACTAAAATGCAAAAATGTAAGTGATAACATCCCACTAAGCAACACTAGGTGGCAGACTTGATTCATTCTACTCATTACTTCACTTTTAGGTTGACTGAGGAGAGACCATCCCCATGAGGGGCATTATCAGTGGAGCTATGGTGCTGCTTGACATGTTTAGAATCATTTTCCTCATGCCATCTGTCTTTCTAATATTACTCAACAGTCATACAGGGTGATTTGTGCCATTGAGTCTCAATGTTATTTTCAGTCATGTCCTGTGTTTACACACACCATAAATTCCATGTAATCTTTTGTAGCACAGTATATTTGGTCTTTAAACCAACTGATGGGTATCTGTAACCATATCAAAGGACATATTTTAATGTAAAACTAAGACTGCATGTCAAGCAATACATATCCACTGTATGCTAAAGAAATTACCAGCTATTTACTTAAAGTATATGGTGAAATTGTAATGATACAATAATTACCTATTGTTTATTTGGGATTCATTAAAACATGCACCATTTGGTACCATGTAGTTATCACTTGTGTTGAATTCTTTGAAGTACTGTTAGTAGACATTGGTACCACATAATCTCCAAGTAAATACCATAAAGTGCCATCTCAAAACCGATATCATCAGAAGTACATAGCCTACTTCATAGATTATGCATATGTGAATACATTCCTTAACTAACCATCAAGAACAGTGGTGCCAGGCCAAAGTCATCATGGGCTGTGGGAGTGGTGATGTCTCATGTGCATAAGATTTGTAGGCCTAAACAAACTCAAGGTACCTAAGTGTGGCTAAACAACCTCCCTTTAATTACTACTTTTGATCACGAGTGGCGCAGCGGTCTAAGGCACTGCATCTCAGTGCTTGAGGCGTCACTACAGACCCCCTGGTAAGATTCCAGGCTGTATCACAACCGGCCGTGATTGGGAGTCCCATAGGGCAGCGCACAATTGGCCCAGCGTCATCCGGGTTTGGCCGGTGTAGGCCGTCATTGTAAATAAGAATTTGTTCTTAACTGACTTGCCTAGTTAAATGAAGGCAAAATAAATTAATTAAATAAAAATTCCCCATAAGTGTTCATTTGCAAATACTTGAAATTGTGCATGCCAATTTATACTACAAAGCAGAATACATGAGTTAGCCAGCTAACTTTGATCAAAAAACAAATAACTACTGATTTTGTGGTTCATTAAGAAAGCTAAGCTTATGTGTTTTTGGTTGTTGAGTCAATTAGACCATTCCCATTAATGGCTTATCTTGCCAAAAAATAAAAGGTTATTTCAGATTATTTAGGCAAGTTAGCTGGGTAACTCATTGATTCTGCTTTGTAGTATACCCCTCAGGTAAAACAGTTGTAAACCTAACAATGTGTAGGCCTAACTCCACTGTAATTACACTGAACCTGTCAATGTAAGTACCATGTTAACACACAGGAATTATTAGGGACACAATGTAAAGTGTCCTTGCTTAGAATCTACAATTCAAGTAAGACTTGGCCAGTTGGGCAAAGTAGCCTGTTCATCTATAATAATAGATTGCTATGGTTATTTAATTGTTAATATTATTTGAAATAAGTATTATTATTATTACACACACACACACATTTGCCCCTTCTTCGTTTAGCTGACGTTTGATTAAATAAATGGATGTATGAAATATCACACTGTCATCTGAGCATTTGTAACAAAAGACTGCCTCCAGAAACACTGCTTGTTCTATTTTGTGATACAGACATTTCAGCAGTCCTCTTGCATGGTGTATGAAAAACATCAAATGAAAGCCGTTGATTTAACGTTGTTAGACTAAGGTGACGTTGTGATAACATTATGTATAACATATTTATCGGATGAAATGTAAACGAAAGCTTGGTTTTATTTGCCACATACCAATTATATATTTGTATTCAAGCTTCTGTAAAAAAAATTGTTCATGGAGAGTGCTAAAGTTTCCCTTTCAAAATAAGAGTAAAATATTATTATTGTGATGTGTGTGATGAGACAAGCAGTGAATCAGATGCCTTATTTCGCGTTATGTGGGTCACACTGTTCTTTACCCAAACTGAGAAAAAACCTGTAGGCCTGTCTGGCTGAGTCACTCCACAATGTAGCTATAAAAATCTAGTTGATTTTTCAACCACAACGATTCCAAGCAATTACACCAATTGTGTGCATTAGCGTCCTGTCTTCTCCCTGTCTGAAGAAACCCCCTTGATCTGGTTAAAAGTGTTACAAATGGGCCGAAAGATATTCAAGCGGACTGCAGTTAGAACAACAAGGATGCGGGGGACAAAGGCAACAACCCTCCTATTTCCACTGCCTCCTATTGACATTTATTCATTAGGAACCCCATGCTAATCAATTGCTATTCATGGTCGTTTTTCTAAACACACCCATTTTTAGAGACGCAGATGCGTGCCATTATTGCTGCCGGCTCAGTAAAAACGGTATGTACGGTAAGGCGGGTTAACGTAATCAATCATGTTGACCACTTTGTGTTAAAGACAATTCGTAAACCATATGGCAGTAGAGTGGTCGCAACATTTTTTTATGCCGCCCGGGTTCCTTACCAACTTGTGACAACTGTTAGGGAGGGAGTAAAAAGGAAGAGCTTGTTTAACTGCGGCTAATTGAGCGACTTTACGCACAAAGCCACTTTACACACAAAGAGCAGTAGGCCTTCAATCAACAAAAGGATATTCAGAGGTTCAAATCACGTAATAACCAATATTTTGATGTTACCATAAGGAAAACAATATTCAATTCTAGACAAATGTTCACGATAATAAATGTTGCCTTGCCATTGTGTTATGTCACAAATTGTAGGCTAAACCAATACACATCGAGACAGAGAGATGTAATTGCAGATAATGTCATGAAATATCATTCCCTTTATTTACATAATGTTGATTAAATAGAATGGTACAATAAAATTAGGCATTCGTTATTTAATTTATATACAGAACTTATAGCGTGTAAAAGTTTTGGCATATGTTTGTAACTTGATATTGATAATGGACTGCTATTGTTTGGAAACACTTCTTGTTTTTTATAAAATGTACATCAAGATCGGGATACATATAGCCTACACTCCCATTTTAATCTTGCCCGGTTTGTCTTTTACAATTATTACATGGGCATTTTAGAAGAGACTTGGGCCTAAACTTGGGGACGTTCGAGTTGAAAATATTTTCTCATGTCCTTTAGCAGCTGAATCGTTTTTTTTTTTTTATGAAAAATACAAACTTTGCAGTCTTGATCGTGTACTATAACACTAAGTATGTTTCATATCCTATTTAAATAAATATGTATTCCTCAAATAATTTGGTGAAATTGAAACGGGGACATCATGAAGGCTTTACAGTCCTATTGAATAAATTAAAATGGAGAAGAGGAGAAAGTAAACTTTCCTTTTAAGTTTAACTTCTATCTTCGTCAATATCCGTGCCTGCAAAAGTTTTGAAAATGCGCTTTCTTAAAACATGGGCCTACTGTCAATCGTCCACCTCAATCTCTTCGTCCTCCTCTGAGAATTCGTCCGTGGTTTGGTCTCTGGATGAGGAGGGGGACTGAGGAAATGCTCGGTGTCCTTGTGACGACGGGGAGATACTAGGGGATATTGCTCCAGAGCTTCCTTGCAGGTCGTCAATGTCTTCCATGTTGACTAGCTTTTGCAGGGTTTGTGGTGGTACTTTTTTGAGCGACTCCACGTCTGCTTTCATCTCTTCCAAGTCTCTCTTGAGCTTGGCCCGTCTATTCTGAAACCAAGTGATGACCTGAGCGTTGGTTAGCCCCAGTTGCTGAGCTATCTGGTCTCGATCGGCCGGAGACAGGTATTTCTGGTACAAAAAGCGCTTCTCGAGTTCATATATCTGATGGTTGGTGAAAGCTGTCCGGGACTTTCTCCTCTTTTTTGAGGTTTGCCTCTGTCCAAAGGCGTTTACATGTTCACGACCTTTAGGGAAACGAAAATACAGAGTCACTTTATCAGAACAACATGTCTACAAGTGTCAAGTGTGCCATGATAGAATCAGCAGCTTTGTAATTGAGGTCTTGTTTTACCGAATATGTAAAGCAGATGCAAACAATTTTTGTTATTTTGGCCAATTGTGGTGATGGGTATGTTTTGGTAATAACTTGCGGGCAGCATTCTATAGAGACAATGTGCAATGAATAACAGATTCATGTTTTACATTGCCCATGCATCATTAGGATTAACATAGCTATCAATATCAGGATTAAAATAAATAACATTCTACCCAATAAAAGCCTATAAAATGTTGCAAATTACATTTTACACCAGGAAGCACAATAGAACATGTCAGTTTAGAGGCCTCCTTTTCCACCCCAATAAAACTCAAACTCTGAAATAATAGCCAAGGATAAATAACATCACACAGACTAGGCTTGGCAATAGTTTGAGACATATTGCAATGCCTTTAGAACCACACTCACTGTAAAAGTTTGACAACAGTTCACACGATAGGCTTTCACCAATGGCTATTTCGATTATTATGTATGCTTAGGCAATACAATCACTCACTGAATCTGTAAATGTAAATATTAAAACGTTATGTCAATATTGAATATGAATTATTACCTTCAGCTGCTTGTATAACGCTGACTTCCAGACCTTTAAATGTTTTGCTGGCTAGTTCCTCCAGAGCGCATAACGGCGAAGAGGGAGTGCTAATACCGTTTCTTGCTGCATTTGAGCCGGACACTTTTTCAATAACTCTCGGCGGACAGAGATTAGCAACTGACTTTTTCACCGAGGGTTTGTTTAGGATATCCTCAATACTGAACGGCGTCAGAGGCTTGTTGGAGTTGGCCGGGGGTGGAAGCTGGTCCAAGGGACCCCGTCTCCTCTCCTCGCCACTGGACTGCAACACAGAGCCTGCCTTCATGTCTTTATTGGAGGTCATTGCAGTCCCAGGGAATTACTGCTGACAAAGGCTGATTATTTCATTCAAATGGTCGTTTAAACGTCCACCAGTGTTTCTTTAAATTGTCGTCTTCTTCGCAGCCCACTTTTTAGCACTTTCATTCGAATTATACAACTTCACTTTTCTGAAATGTTTTCTCCAAAATAACCATGGTTCGAGCGTAGGTTGCAGTTTCACAGGCAACAGAATCGCATTTCCTTGCAGAGAGAGACAGTTCCTCTGCGAAGTTCCATGAAGATCTTTAGAAAGTATAACGGTACTGGCTGGGGGGCGATTCCCTGCAAGGAATACGCTGCCTCAAGGAACACGAAAAAGCAAGCAACTGCTAACGAGTTATTGTTGATTGGGTGAAGTTCAATTAGAGAAACACTAGCTACACTACTTGCTGACCCGCTGCTGCGTCTTAAAGGGCCAGACCATAATAATTAATTGGACGCGAGAAGAGGAGGAGTTTCGCCTCAGCAGTGTTGGGAATGTTTGAGGAGGGGGAGATGGCTTTAAATGTTTATGTATCTGCCGCCCCCTTCCCACAGGCAACATGCTATCCTTGTATTCCCCTGGAAAAGGAGAGTTGATGCTCATTAAAACAATGCCATAAGCATTCTTGTGTATAATCGTTAACTTTGTATTATTATGGTACACAGTAGGCCTAATTGAGTGATACAAAAAAAAGAAACTGCAGTATTGGAACCCTTGTAGCTGAATCATACAAAAGTATATGAGTGATTTGAAAGCACTTATGATTCGGAGACAAAAAGGTTAGGGGGATAATGTGAGTGCTAGCAACCCCAAAAGCTTGAACAGGGTAGGCAACATCAAACTCTGCTCACTGCACAATTAGTCTAATTTTCAATTAAGCAATATGGTAGGATTACGCAGGTAACTCAAAAACAGTAATATGCAATTTTGCAATGTGACAAATGTACATTATTATTGTTATTATCAGGCTACTAATGTCTTCGTATTATATTTTTTATTGAGTGCATTACTATTATGATAGGCAGGACTATATATGTTATTACTACATTATCAACATCATTGTTTTCTTAGAACTATACAAAAGTAAGCCCACATTATTATTAACATTACATTTTAACATGCTCATTAAGTTTCAAGAACAAAGCATAGACATGCATTATCCTTCCTGTCGTGAGCTTATAATTTTGGATCTTTTGGCAGAGGAACCACTAAGATAAACCGTTTACCCTTGAAACCTTAAACCTTTTTTTGCACATCAGCTATCGGTGCTTTAAAAAAACAATAGCTGTAGCCTACTTTTATCTCTTATAACGGTATAGGAAGCCAAAGAGACAACCTGGGAATGATTAGGAGATACATAGTGCATTGTAGGACAGTGTTGAGTTACACTATAGTGTTCCATAAAATGTCCTAGATTGGCATGCTGATAAATATGACGCCGTGGCCAGTGACAATACTTTATGTGATCTGTTTAGCTCGCAGGTAAAGAAACGAGACACAGAAGAGTTGTCACGCTCCCATTCTCTCCCCCCCATCGTTAATGATATTAATTAAAATTCTGATGATGTCCGGGCTGTACCATGTAAGAGAGTAGATCATAGAATGAAAAAGGGTTAAGTTCGACAGCATCGAGGATCAGGTAGGTTGTGCGTGTTGTTTATCCATTGAGCAGGCTATTAGGCCTACTTAATTTGACACAATAACACCTACAGTATAGTAGAATATGCACGCATTAATAGTTCGTTATAAAGATTTTTCAAATGCGTTTAACGGCAATCTGAATCTGAAAATATCCATCAAGCTATGTTGCATGCATAAGGTTTCAATAATATTGCAATTACAAATAAGCAATGGGCTTTCGACAGGAATTTGATCTGCATGCATATAGCGAAATGTTGTTTGTATTTTCGTTTAGACTATTAAAATATAATATATTGCGAAATGTGTTTACAATTTGTATTATATTTGTATTAAACCAGCTCTATTTCATTGTTATGGTGCACACGTAGGCTATCATAAAATGTATAATTGTAACCTATTAGGCTAATCGCAAAAAGGGACATATCCTACATGAAATAGGACAATATCAGCATATGAATATAATGCTTTTAACAATTATTTTTTCGAAAAAAAATACATTCCATTGACATGTTTACAAACTGTTGGATGATTATTTATAATGTATTTTACTCAGCACATTAACACCGTGCTCTCTGCAGTGTGGTAGAAAGATGTACAATTCAGAGGTGGTAATTCTGAGCGTATTCCCACATTCCCTAGGTGCGGGTCAACAACATCAATTATCTATTTCAAACCCGAGGTACACTATTGATAATGTCCATTGTTGCTGTTATTTCATTGCGTTTTAATAATCGACTGAAATTATGAATGTCTTTCTTACATGAACCATTAACAGTGAATAGAACCTTGCAGAAACACCATATTGTTCGTGCCAAGAACACCATATGGTGACATTCGTGTAGGGACGAAACCAGGCCAAATAGCATTGGAGTTATAAAACAGCACGAGATTCTATTAGCTTAGATGGAGACCCGCTGTCTTGGATGTCATTTAGCAATATTGAGAGGGAGGTTTTCCTATTAAAGAGGGATAATTTATTCGAAGGGCTCTGTTGAATACAAACAACATTTGAGGTTATAACATTTCACAGTGGTTTTGGCTATAAAATACCACGGGGTACAGCCTTCCCCAGCTAGATGCGTCGATTGGGCCTTGTAAAATGTACATCTTCTTCTTCTTCTTCTTAAAAAACCCCCCACATCAGTAGGCCTATCACACTAACGTCATTAATGTGTTACTTAATCTCATGACTTGTTGTAGGATTTAGTCTAGCTCAAATAATGATCAGTTACATAGAACTACAGGCCTAGGCCATCCATCGAATTACAGCCTGATAACTATAAACCAATGTCTTGTTGCTGATCAACAATGTAAAAAAAAAATGTGTTTTACTATTTGGTTGCGGTCAGTGCTACTTGGGATCTTTGGGACGTCCGTACCCCCTAAACCCTAACCTTAACCCCTAACCTTAACCATAACCATAACCCTTACTTAACCCTAACCTTAACCCTTACCTTAACCATTTTAAATGTCAACTTCAATGGGGTAGGGAGGTCCCAAGGATCCTGGATAGCATGGACTATTTGGTTGCAACGATTTTATTACAATACTGTTCGTCTCCACGTGCTATTATATTTTAACTCTACTTGGAAAATAACCATTGCTGACCTTTTACAATCGCAGTAGCCTATAACATAAAATATGCTTACATTTACAGGAGAACTTGGAAATGGAAACAAACCAACCATGCTTATTAATGTCATAGGCTAATGATGAAACATATTTACATTCATGCCAACAGACTTGGTGCAATTCATAGTTTCAGCCTATTCAGGAAAAACGCATAATGTAACGTTGGTGTTGATATCATAGGCTTCTTTCAGAAAGAGATACAGCTGCACTCTACGCCCAGCAAGAACACAGCGGAGGGCAAACGAGCCATGGAGCGATGGAATGAATAGGCGGGTTATATTTCCCTCAAACGCGGCAAGCATTAATAGTTCTAAAGATACGTCCACCGATATCTCTTTTCCAAACATGTTTCCAATGATCTTTACGGTCTCAAGCGGAGCAGTGCTAATTCGAAAGGTTTTCTTTGGCTTAATTTAACCGTTAATTAGAAACAGAACACCTGACATCATCAATCATTAACTCTTATGGGAGTTGTGTTTTATATTCACCAAAGCTCTATCTCCAGTCAGCCAGTCCCCTTTCCCAGAGCTGCATGGTCCCCCCATAGGTCACATATTGCTCATGGCCTCTCAGTTTTCCTCGTACAGTGGGGCTGGCTATTGGAAAGCGGTATTCGGACTATCAAAATATCATCGCCAATAGACTCGAACTGGCCTTTGGAATAACTGCAGACATAAACAGTTGGTTATGAATGTTGATTTTCTGACTCTTTAGGCTGCACTGCATGGTTTTTGTTGATGATTTGCAGATGTTCGAGAAATGATAAAAGTACCCTGTCCTGGTACGTCCAATAAACTTGTAAAACCGGAGAAACATACTGTAGTTCTACCAAATTGTGCTAAAACATAAATTATGCAGGTGTATTGATTCGGTAATTTCTACGTTTTCTTTGTTGGTCTCTGTCCATGATTTAAATACAATTATTTTAGACTGATAAACTCTCATCGCCAATATTATTTGGGTTTTAGAGAAAATGTTGAAACGTGGGGCGCCCAATGCTATACTACTGTCGAGTGACAAATCTGAATATAATTCAGGTAGCTAGGCCTATCAGGTTTCTTCATCACCCTCTTACTTTATTCGTTACTGACTCCTGTTGCAAAACAAAACAGCTGTACTAACAACTTAAGTATAACATGATACAGGAACACTCACATTAACGTGGGAGTTATGGTGACACATGAGAGTGATACACGCTTATAATGAAATAGAGAGGACTTGCTGTCTTTGCATCAGTTGTGTTGGTCTCCATTGTATCCCTATAGGTCCTGTGATTTTCTGGGCATACAGGGTTGAAACATAAAGATATTTGTCTATGCAGGCTATCAATTTACAACATAACCCTAACGCTTCATTATGACCGGGGTTCAATCTTCAGTACAATAATCTGATGTGGTGTAGGGGAGGAGGGTAGTGACTTCAATGTACAGTATATGCCTTCTAATGACATTACCCTAGTCATAGTGTGTCCATAAAGTGCTTGCATTGATCAAATTGTATAATGCCAGCAGGGCATGTCGACACAATATCAGTAGTCAACCATTTTGATTATAAATGGGTTTGGGGTTCATAAGATGCTGCTCAATGAAGCAAAAATAAAGAGGAAATAATCGTTGGGATATTGTGGGCTTTCATCTCCTCATTCAATAATTATTTTATAGGCATAACAATTCATTACCAATATTATAAATTGTCAACTGTAAATAGAAAAGTATATTGTTATTATTACAATTATTGATATTATTGATATTATTATTATTATTATTATTATTATTATTATTATTATTATTTTCAACAAGAAAAATAATGGTAGGCCTACTAATAGTAATGCAGTCATTCACAACATTATGTCATTACTGGAATCACGATTATGACATTTCTTGACCTACGTGACAAGAGAGCGAATTATAGGCTATTTCCCTTAAAAATTGTATAGGCCTATATATTAATCTTTTTTGCAATGTTACCTAACGTCATTATTGACTGCCCCTATTTTCTCTGTACTAGCCGAAACATGTTAGGCCTATACAAGCTTTATTGAACGAAGCGATCATTTTAAGCACTAATGCGTTTTCAAGGAAACAATGTTGTCAATAGTTTGGGTAAATATGATCTT